GACCCATCCTATCTGGGTAGGGCTTTTCCTCTTACTTTGCACCAAGCCCCCTCAATGTTTTCCCCACGGTACTTACCAAAATTTGCTATCCTCTTATTGTGTCTGTGTTACTTGCTGTTTTGACTGCTCCCCCTGCCAGTCTAAGAGGCCACCAGGGCAGGGACGTCCGCAGTCTCACTCCTGAGTGGCCAGTGCACTGGCTGTCCGGCACCGAGAAACGATCCAAAGAATGAAGATGGAATGACTTGACATGCTGCGTGAAAGGCACTCCTGATATAGCTTGGGTTTTGGGTAATGATGGGCTAGGTCATTCAGCCCATGCTCCCACTGAAAAAACTAAAACTACTAGAAAAATATGAAAAACATCTCCTTAAAAGCCCTGGAGTGCTCGTAAGATAGTCAGGAATTACCAGCCCAAACAGGCAAGAGGGAAGCCAGAGAGGTAAGAAGACCATGGATATCTTTTTAGCTTGAGGATACGTGTCAATCCTAGCAAAACTAAACTTGGGGCAAAGAATCAAAACCCCAGACCTGCTGAAGCAGGGAAGTCTAATAGGAGACCCAGCCCACATGATGCTAGGGCCCCAAAGGGTTACACGTCGAAGGAAAACGTGAATCAGAAGAGACCCCTCTACCCCAAAGACTAGAGGGCAGGTTGCCACAGTGCGGAGCAGAGCCAGGCGGGGAGCGCCTCTGAGGTGTTGTGTCCACAAGCCAGGCTTCACGTAAACTTTCAGCTCCGTTCTGTATCACTGGGGTGGTTTGGAAAGTCGGAAGCTGGGAATTTAGTTTATGGTGTCTGGCAAAAGAAAATGCAAACCCTCACTCTGATTCTGACATCGGCTCAAATTTGTTTTTTCTCCCATCACCAAGCATTTCTCCGACACCAGCTGGGTGTTCTGAAACCCCACTCCATTCTGACACCATCTCCCTGGAGACAGCCTCAGATCCCACAGGTGAAGGGCTCCGTCCTACCAGACCACCTTCCTTCTGCCACAGATGTCTATCTCAAGACCAGGTTGTCATTTGTCCTTCTGACCAACTGGCTACAGATTGGAGGTTCCAATGACCCCCTCCTGTGTTCGATTAATTTGCTAGAGCGGCTAACAGGACTCAAGAGAAACATTTTACTCACTAGACTGTTGGCTTAACTACTAACTAGATTTATCATAAAAGGATGTAACTCAGGAACAGCCAGACAGAAAAGACTCATAGGATGAGGTATGGGGATGCCCTCTGGGCCTGCCACTCTCCCCACATCTCCCGTGTTCCCCACCCAGAAGCTCTCTGAACCCCGTCCTTTGGGTTTTTTTTTTTTAAATTTTTTTTTTCAACGTTTATTTATTTTTGGGACAGAGAGAGACAGAGCATGAATGGGGGAGGGGCAGAGAGAGAGGGAGACACAGAATCAGAAACAGGCTCCAGGCTCTGAGCCATCAGCCCAGAGCCTGACGCGGGGCTCGAACTCACGGACCGCGAGATCGTGACCTGGCTGAAGTCGGACGCTTAACCGACTGCGCCACCCAGGCGCCCTACCCGTCCTTTGGGTTTTTATGGAGACTTCATTGATCGATTAAATCACCGATTGAACTGGGATTGATTAAATCATTGGCCGTTGGCAACTGAACTCAGTCTTCAGCACTTCTCTTCTCCTTGGAGGTTGGGAGTCAGGGGTGGGATGAAAAGCTCTACCCGCTGCAAGTGGGTGGGAAATTTCTCTAGTAGCCAGGCCCCCATCCCTAGGGGCTTTCCTATAGTCACTTCATTAATGTGACAAAAGATACCTTTATCACCCTCTCACTTAGGACACTCAAGCGTTTGGGCAGCTCTGCGTCAGGAAGTGGGCCAAAGACCAAATATATATTTCTTATTTTGAATCACAAGGTAACATTGCCTACCAAAAGGCAGCTTAGCCTAGGTCTCCTATTAGTCCTGAAAATTCATTTTCTAGAACAACACCGGCACATCACTAGGCGGCTGCGCGCACAGAGAAACACAGGACACTACCACACCACGAGCACAGGCCGGCTTCACATACTGCAGTTCTCCGTCACAGATGGTAAAATCAGTGTACTGATGATGTGTAAAGAAATCAAGGCAAATTCGACATTATCTTCAACGGAACGGTAAGTCTAAGAAGTGACTGAGCCGGGGCGCCTGGGTGGCTCAGTTGGTTAAGGGTCCGAATCTAGATTTCGGCTCAGGCCATGATCTCACGGTTCATGAGATCAAGCCCTGAGTCGGGCTCTGGGTGCTGACAGCATGGAGCCTGTTTGGGATTCTCAGTCTCCCCGTCTTTGTCTGCCCCTCCCCTGCTCACGCTCTCGCGCTCTTTCTCCCACGAGATAAACAAATAAAAACTTAAAGAAAAAAGGAAGTGACTGAGCCACCTTGAACTAGACAATGTTTCTTTGAAATGATACGAAAAGCACGAGCAACAAAAAGAAAAAAATAGATGGACGAGACATGAAATTTAAAAACTTCTGTGCTTCAAAAAAACACAGTCAAGAAAGTGAAAACACAGTCTGCGGAATGGGGGAGGATTTTTGCGAATCGCGTATCTGATAAAGGTCTAGGATCCGTATGGTATAAACAGCTCTTAAAATTCAATAAAAGGAGAAACAGCCCAATAATGAAATTACTTTGCAATTTGTTTCTTTGTGTGTTTGAAAAATTTTAAGCAAGCTCCATATATCGTCCCTTCTAGTGCACTGACGGCTTTAACTAACTTAGAGCAAGCCAGCTTTTTTTTTTTGCCCCGAGTCTCATGTGGCACTAAGATCTTTTATCAGAGTGTACATTACACTGACCGGAGTCTTTTAACTAAAGACCATCAATACAAAACACAGGCGCAGCGCTCCAACTCAGGGCTCATGCTCAGTGGTTCAGGTAGAAACAAAACTGAAAACAGTGTTTGAGCCCTGATATCATATTTCCCAGAGAAGCAATCTGAGACAGGACTGTGTTTTGAACACAACAGACCACAGTGATTTGTGAAATCAATAACTCCACCAAATGGTTCCAAAGATGTTAAGTGAACTGCCCACAGTCACGCTGCTGGTGAGTTGTGGACTCACCATTTGAACCCAGGCGGTCTGACTCCAGAGCCTCCGGAGGCGATTTCTAATCCCTCCGGTCCAGAGGCGTGGCCAGAGGACTCAGCCAGGTGCGGAGCGTTTTGGGAGCCTAGGACCATATTTATGTCTGTCTTTGGAAGTGTGGATTTCCTCTAGACGTCGGTTCCGGCAGGGGGCAGAGTGGTGCTTACGTGGGGTGGGGAAAGTCCAGTACAGCTTGCTCATTCGAGGCTGGGCTAACGTTCTGCAAAACTTTTGGTAGCACGAGGATGTCTTGAGGCACAAAAACCTCTGGGGTCTCTGGGTACTTAGGTTTTCCAACTAGAAACTCAGCACGGTGGCTGCTAGCTTTGTGAGCACTGGAAAATGAAGACTTAAGTGTTTCTGCTTCTGGCTTAGCTCCTGGGACACAGTTGGCTGCCCGAGTCTGCGGTAATAAGACTGTCTTATTTCAGGAGCTGGGCCATTTGGGGAGGGCTGTTTCCAAGCTTCAGAAGCAAATTCCCCCGGGAGTTCCTTCCTCTACGTGGGTCAGTTGACATCATTTTGGAAAAGGAGTAAGTGGGCGCCTATTCAGAGGTCTGGCCTAAGACGGGATGGCCTCCTCATGCCTCACGGAGCAATGGCGAGGATACCATGTCTGGGTATGTGAAGTTAAGGCCACAGCTGACATGAGAGAGAATCTCCCGAATGCCGTGGCCTTTCAAGTTAAATCCACAGCCTTTCACCAAGAATCTGATTAAGGAGGTGGTCAGGAAAGCAAGGCTGGCAAGACAGCGGCGATCGTGTTAACAACCACAACCACAACCACGATCACTCTTACAGCTACCGCTTATTGAATGCATACTAGATGGCGGGCACGGTTCCAACAGCTTTATCAGCTTGGCTCACTTATTCTTTTCAATAATCCTGAGACGCTTACATTTTATAGATGAAGAAACCGAGGCTCGGAAGGGCTGGGTCACTTGCTCAGGGACATACTGCTAGAAGGTAGGGGAGGTATAACTTGAACCCAGGCTTGTCTGACTCCAAAGCTGGGCTAGGGGCTGTTAAAGCACTCTGACGGCCTCTCAGAGAGGGAGCAGAGAAGGAAAATGGGGGATTACACCAGACTCTGTGTGTAGTTCTGGGAGGCAGACCTCAAAGAGTAGAGTGGGCAGTGGAAGTCTGAAGAAAGACCAGGAAGGTGCATCCCTGCGGCCAGCAGCAAGGAAGACCAGGAGACCCCAGAAAGAGGGCTTGGGCCCAGGGACGGTGGACAGGCACCCTGCCCTGGTGTCTTCTTGGAATAAAGACAACATGTGGTAATTGCAGTAACTCTTGCCTCTCTCTCCCGAGCCCTGTGTTGCTCACGTGGCACAGCCAAGCCGACTAGCTTGGCCAAGGGGAAGAGCTGGGATTCTGGGGCCAAACACAAAAGGTGTCATGGCTGTGAATTCTTCTTCGGTTCCACTGCTGGCAGACTACCTTTATGTCTCCCCGGCTTTATTATAGATCTTTTTTTTTTTTTTTAATGTTTATTTTTGAGAGAGCGCAGAGAGAGGGGCAGCGAGGGGGGACACACAGGATCTGAAGCAGGGCTCCAATTCGTGAACCATGAGATCATGACCTGAGCTGAAGTCGGACGCTCAACCGACTGAGCCACCCAGGTGGCCCTATTAAAGATCTTTTAAAGGGTCTGCATCACCCTATTACCAGCACCGTTCATACAAAGAATAATGGCATTTTCCCTTCACGTCTGCTTCAAGTGAAGCTCTAAAGAGCTCCATTTAGCTCTTCCTAGGCTGCACTGAGGCAAGTGTTCCGTGGTAACGAGCATCACAAACGCCTCACTGCTGTATCGCAGGTGCTACAGCCATGGCTTAGCTCCTGGGGCTATAATCACGTGCTTAGTGACAATACAGGGGGACGGGGCTTCCTTACCTCATCTGAAGAGCCATTTTCCACTCTGAATCTTCCAGCCCTTTGGATGGCTCCATCGGCGTCACTAGAAATAAGCTAGGAGACAAGAGAGCTCTCAGTTAGGTAGCAGGGTCACCATGTGGAAAGCCCCTTCTGTCCGTCTGTGTCCGTCCTGTAAGTAAGCCAAATCCTACGAGAGCTGGAGGGCCCAGCCTAGAAGAGAACGGTCTTTCTGAAGCTCTGCCAGCCAAGCCCTCACACAGTCGGCCCCCACAGTCTTTAGGAAGCTGAAGAGTGAGGACTCCCTGCCCCCTACAACCCACAAGAGTAGGGAAACAGGAGCATCAAATCTAAACGTGAACATTTGAATAAAATCTAAACGTAGGCATATTCCAAAACTGAACAAATATTAAAGTAATGCTCCCTGGAAAAACAACCTTAATACACATCACATGTGGACAAGTGCAGCTCACAGATGGCAAAACTGAAAGCCACGTCTCAAGTTCGGCCGTCTTCACAGGAAAGCCTAAAAAACAATTAATGGCTGGCATGAACTCAAGGCTCTACTAACATCACAGAAAGCTCTTGTGCCTCAGTTTTAAACGGTCTCCACAAGGCCAATTAGCCCCTTCCCAGGCAGGCGGGCTCAGTGTGAGCTCTGGCAACATGATGCTTGCAAACAGGCCGTCTTCAAGAAGCTCACTGGTAGGGTGACATGAGTGAGATCGGGCGTTGGTGCGTCAGTCCTAAAATTACTGATTCAAGATTTCATTTATTTTCTCCCAAAACGCCTAGATTTCTCAGTAGCAACTTGGGAAAATGACATGTCTTTTTTTTTTTTTTTTTAACTTTTAAATCTGTCCACAATTTGTAGCAAAGATGTGGCAAAAATTTCCATTTCCCAGACTCATGAGAAAGTGCTTGCCCTGGCAGGGGTGGGGGACACTTCTTACCTAACTCAAGACTCACCTGGTCAAACACATACACAATTTCTTAAGAAAGACTGTTAGCTCGTAGTTTTGCTCGCGTTAAGAGACATGAAGGTGTGGAAATGGAAGAAAATCAGGGGAAAACTTCCCAAGGACAACGATTTGCAAAAGGCTTATAAATCTTTTCTACGATAATTATAAAAATAACAGTATCTATTTTTTTTTAAAATGTTTATTTTTGACAGAGAGAGAGACAGAGCATGAGTGGGGGAGGGGCAGAGAGAGAGGGAGACACAGACTCCGAAGCAGGCTCCAGGCTCTGAGCTGTCAGCACAGAGCCCGACGCGGGGCTCAAACTCACAGACCGCGAGATCATGACCTGGGCCGAAGTCGGACACTCAACTGACTGAGCCACCCAGGCGCCCCAACAGTATCTATTTTTTATTGAGCGTTTATCCACGCCCTGTACTCTTCTGACCTTCACATGCATTGTCTCATTTAACTCTCAAAACAGCAAAACAGGTGGGTACCATCACTGTTCTCATTTACCAATGAGGAAACTGAGGCAGAGAAAGGTAAATAAAATAACCAGTTGTAGTCACATACTGGTTAGTACGTGGTAGGCCTGGGGATGTGAACACAGGCAGACAGACTTCAGAAACCCATTATCCTTACCTAACCGTCCACCATGGAAAGTCCACGAAAAGGCGCAGGTTTTAAACCTATTCTTTATCCTGCAAAACCATTTCTAAAAATAAATGAAAGGATTTTTATATGTATGTTTAGCTATTTATGGCATCAGATTATTCCATGGTCGGTAAACTGAAGATGAGCCACAGAGACTGTGTGGTATAGAATTTATCCCTGCCTGGGGCACCTGGGTGGCTCAGTCGGTTAAGTGTCTGACTTTGGCTCAGGTCATGATCTCACAGTCCGTGGGTTCAAGCCCCACATCGGGCTCTATGCTGACAGCATGGAGCCTGCTTTGGATCTGTCTCCCTCTCTCTGCCCCTCCCCTGCTCGGTTGCGCACACACTCTCTCTCTCAAAAAATAAACATTAAAAAAAAAGAACTTAACCCTGCCCAACAGAAGTGTGGCCTTTGGCCTCGGCTTCGGAGAGGTGATCTCTGAGCCCTGGAAATGTTCTGCAGGAGTGTCTATTTACCTGGGACTTTGAGCCGTACAGGAGAAGAACATGAGTTGTGGTGGGGGCTTTGGGTTACACGGTATGAGATCTACCTCTGGACACCAAGGCTCAGGTGAGCCTCCCTGGTGCATGTACTGCCACACGTCCTTGCCAGGAGGAGTTAATGCTGTCCGTGACCCCACTGGGAGAGGACACCAGGAAGCTGCATATGGAACCCTCCTGGATTCTGTCCCGCGTGCCTGTTCCCTTGGCTGATCCTAATCTGTAACCTTTTGCTGTAATAAACCAGAAACGAGTTTAACAGCCTTACCTAGACTCTGCGAGTCTCCTTCTGGCAAATGATTGAACCTGAGAGTAGCCCTGGGGACCCCTGTACTCTGCAGTGAATGTCAAAAGTGAGGTCTGGTAGGCCGTTGCCTGGTTTAGAGAGGCCAATCCTAAAGTATAAGGGCAAGATGAACGCAGTTCTCCTGGCATCACTGCCATTTTCACAGGGGGAACTACAGAGGATTCAGTGTCAATTTCTCCTTTGCCTATGAGCTTCTACTCATGGTCTGTTAAAATATTAAAATTTAGGCCACAGCAAACAGGTTTCAAGTCAAGTGTTCTTGGTGTAGGCTGCCTCAAGGGCTTTGGGAGAAGTGTTCTGAGGTCGCATCTGGAGAGGAAAGAGAGCTGCAGTCAATTAATTACGTCTGACACAGGTGTATAAAGAGACAGGAGGATGAGCACTCCCCTGAGTTAGAGGTTGGTAGATACAGTCCTCGCTGGAGCTGGTAACAACCAGAATTCAAAGGCTTGGGAGAAGAGCTGAGAGTCATTCACCGATTCACTCATTCACTCATATAACAAATACAGAATGTCGACCACTATATTCCAGACACTGATGGGCACAGGCAATAATGCCCTTTCCTGTTCTGAGATCAGAACAAGAAGGTTATTGCTTGTCTTGCTTCAAAGGTTCAAGAAGCAGAAAGGAAGAACATGTTCAATGATCTGATGGCTGGAAGGAATCTGGCTCCCTCTGAACTTAGGATCCCGAAACCCACAGGCACTGAACTCGGGCCTCAGGCTGACCTGGTTTTAACTCTCTCGCCTTTCCCGTCTCTACCACCAGCATCCGCACCCAAGTCGCTGTCATCTTTACCCCAGATGACTGCAACCGCCTCCTAGCAGGTTGATGCACCCAGGCACTCTTGCTTCTCTCCGACCCAGTCTGCACACCGTAGCCGGGCGATTTTGGCCAACTGCATCTGTGACTGTCCCACGATCTCACTTCTGTCCACACTGCTCCTTCTCACCAGAGGACCTGCAAGGAAGGGCTCTCCCATTTTCCCCTAAAGAACTCCTGCTCACCTTTCAAATTCACTGCAGTCAGGGGACTTCCCCGCCCTTGCCGCCTGGGAAAAGTTCTAGGGCACTCCTGTTGAGTTTTGAGTTACATTTCTTTGTGTGATTACTTGATTCATGCTGTTTCTTCTCATGTGCTCCCTCTACTCCCCAACGATAAGCTCCATGGAGACAGCGATTATGTTGGTTTTTCTCCCCACTGCATCCCCAAAGCTAAGCACACTGTCTGACGGTATAAATGTTCACTAAATACTTTGCAAATAAAACATATGTGAATAGGCCGATGCCAAATTCCTACTAAAATGACCAAAGGAATATAAAAATGCAGGCAAGATCGATGCCAGTTCTGGAAACCAGAGGTTCATGACTCAAGCAAGAAATTTCCAGGAAATCCTACCAGGTCTATCATAAAGGAAAGGCCAAAGTGAAGGACAAGCCAAAGGACCTAAATCACCACGTGCAAGGGAAAGTGCAGCTTCGCAGTAACTGAACCAGATCTAGCACATCAGACTGGCACCCTGAGCTCCTGCTGGCAGGGCCTGCCTCAGGTGAGTGTGGGTGTGAGGGCAGTAGGTGGGCAGGTGACTTATAGGTCACGCTGGCAAAGTGATTTGGTGCTGGCATGCAGAATGGCAGTCCCAGGGCTCGCCCTCACAGCTGGTCTGGGGAGCTGGCTAAATAAAGCAGAAGGTACCAGGCTGGCTGGTCCTGATGAAGACTGGAACACCAGCCGACGCGAAAGGAAACAGTGCTCCAATGAACTTGGCAATGAGGACGATAGCGATGCAGAAAAAAATCCTTCTGATGCAGCAGAGAAGCTATTTCTGTCCACAGTTTCTTTTCTGTTATTCCTCATACCTGTGATCTGGCCAACTGAAACTACAGGAAATTGAAACTCTCCCCATCATTGGAAGATCTGGCTCAGGAATGAAAGTGTCTGTCAGAACCCATCTAAATGTCCGATACTATACAATGCAGAAGTCCCCTGCCCCAGCTCTTCCTATGGGGTGCAGGGTTCTGGCTACCACCAAGATACACTCCAGCCAACGTCTACAGTAATGGAGCGTAGCTGGTCTCATGGCTAGACCAGTGTCCCTCAAGGTGGCTGTCTGACTTAATTCCTTTCGCTTGAAGGTGGCTCCAAGTCCCAGGTGGCATGTAGCGAGCTAGGCCCGTGTGCCTCAACTTTTCCTCTAGGAGATACCAAAAAGAACAATGAACAAATCCCAGGGAAAGCAAGGGGAAGGAATCAATAAAAATATCAGAGTAGAAATTATAGATTCAAAAAGACAGTAGAATCAATAAACACATCCAAGAAATCACGAGCAAGTCTGATTTTAAAAAGCAAGGAACAAACACAAATGCGGAGCCATAATATAGAAAATATAACTAAGAAGAAAGAGATTTTTTGGCACAAAAACAGACACATA